TGTCTCACTTGCTTTCCTCTGTGGTTGCGTGACTGACTGACTGGTGGCAACGTTCTACGACACTAACCAAATGGCAAGACAGTATTCAGTGTGTGTCACCAGCCTGGGCAAAGATCAGAGTTAAAACTCTGAAGTGTTCTTTCTCCTGAATGTATTTCTCTTTTGTACTATTGTTCAGTTAAAAAAAAATCCTGAGTCCAAATCCCAGCTCACTGGTGCTCAGAAACGGGTGGGAAAGGGAGTCCAGAGCTCCATTCCTGGGGTTAACCCCGCCCCCAGCATCAGCACCAGCTGCTAACTCCATGGAAATACCAACCTCGTCACCCAGGTGTGTCTGGCATGGTCAAATTGTTTGTTGGCAAGAGGCCTCCGTTCTTGCTACAGAACAGCCCCATGGGACTACATTTTGTCAGGACAGGGCAGCCGGTGTCCCCAAAAGCACATGATCTAAGAGAGGGAAGATCGAGCATCAGTGTCCTTCAGGACTCAGCTGCAAGCATCACACCTCTGTTTCCATAACTTTCTTTTTTCTTCCTAAGCTTAATTGGTTCTGTGTGTAAATAGCACAGTATTATAATAAAACAGACTCTAATGACCCCAGAATCCAACTTAAGACCTGGGGAGTTCTGCCATTCCCTCGCCTACTACAGCTAAAGTGCTCCCCTGGGCTCTGTGTGTGCCAACTCTCTCCCCAGCTCCATTGGACTTTGACCATGGAGTTGTCTCATGCATGAGACTGTGTAACAGTCTTGTCATTCATGTAATCCCAGCCAGGTTCCGACGGCTCATGTACAAAACAATACATCTGGAACCTTTGCCCACCCCGCACCTGACCTATGGCTCAGCCCAGGTTCAACAGCAAGAGCAGGAATTAGAGATCACACACCTTCATTTTTCTCCCCAGCTCTGCCTCTGCCTCCCCACGGGGTGCTGGGAAAGCTCCTCTTCCCTATATTAGGACAACACACTAGTTCCTCGTCCCCTCCTGACCTAGTTGGTTGTTAGAAGAACGAATGCACATGATACTGGCTTCATGCATTATAAAATGTTTTCTTAACCCAGCCCCTATGTCTGACATAACTTGGTAGCTAGACTAATTGTTGGCTGTCCCCTGAATGCTGGGGAAGGGGACTATGTGGCCAGACAGCATTCCCTGTATGTATGTGTGCATCCTTCCGGGTGCCTGCTTTGGAGTAGTGTCCAGATTTGTGTGGCCTCTGCTCTTCCAGGTGTTGTATAACATCGCCTTCATGCACGCCAAGAAGGAGGAGTGGAAAAAGGCGGAAGAGCAGTTGGCATTGGCAACAAACATGAAGTCGGAACCCAGGCACTCCAAAATCGACAAGGCCATGGAAAGCATCTGGGTGAGTGTGGTGGCGGAGAGGGTGTCCTTAGAGTCCCGTTTGTTTCCTAGGACACCATGATGGGGAACATTTTCTTCGTTGATGGCTAACAAATGCTCTCTCAACATCTTCCATCCTGCATCTGAGCTGAGAAAGCCACATCCCAGAGAACAGAACAGCACTGGATCTCTCGTAGTGGGGCCCTGGGCGACGCCTGCCATTTCTTGGTGCTGTATAGCCTCCAAGCACTGTGAAGACAGAGGCTGGGCTTTTCTGCTTACCTTTGCAGCCTCACTGTCTGGCACAGTGCCAGGCTCAACGTGGCTCCCACAGAAATATTCCAGTTCTACGAAAGAGTTACCAAACTTTATTATTCATAGTTTGATTTTACTTGGGAGCAAAACTCGTTTTCCTTTCTCTGGAGATACTTTATTTTAAATTATGTGTCTATGTGTGGGAATGTGCAGGTGTGGGTAGGTGGCCATGGCAACCAGAAGGGTATTGGGTCCCCTGGAGCTGGAGCTATAGGTAGTTGTGAGCTGTCTGATGTGGATGCTGAGATGCAAACTCTGGTCCTCTGGAAGAGCAGAACGTGCTCTTCACTTCGGAGCCACCCTCCAGCCCCCAAAAGGCAGTTTTAAATAAGCTGTACGTAAACACCAGGAAGGGAGCTCAAGTTTTTGTAGGCCTGTATACATGAGCCAACTAGTCCCAAGAGAACACTGTCACAACCCTTGCTTGGCTCTTGTAGTGGTGTCCTCTATGCTGGGAGAGAAACTCTAGATACCACACCAAGTGGGAAAGGGGCAGTATTGGGTAAATAAAACCAACATAAGGTGATGTTAAAACCAACTGCTTTCAGTGGCAACCAAGAGCAAAGGGAATAGTCTGGATTGTCCTGGAGGTCCCTTGGACACCCCTGACTAATGGTTCAAGGGGAAGTATTCCACACTCGCCACTGGTCTTTTTATTTGGCAACCTATGACTTCTGGGATGAACATAATCCTCTGTGTAGGACAGCTCCAACATGACCCTATTGCTTAAGACAGCACACACACATTGGTCACAGGACATGAAGAAATCAAGTTGGTACTGAGCAAGAAGCTTCCTCCATGCTGGCTAGCTCTAATAGTACTGGAAGGTTCTATGCAGGCTTCTGGGAGAAAAAAGTCATCAGCAGTCTTACACAGTGGAGAGCCTTGTGAACTGAAATAATGATCAGTGTTGGTAAGATATGCCCAGGGGTGCAGTAGGGGTATGAACGCCACAGGGTAACCAACTGCTTTATGCCTGAACTTGAGGCCCACTCCATAGGAGGAAACACAGGCCTAATACTGTGAATCTGACCAAATACCCATTGTTGGGGAGCTCACAGATCCCAAAGGGAAACCTACTACTATTATTTTGCTAAATGGGCATAGTGTCATTGTCTTAGTTAGGGTCTCTATTGCTGTGAAGAGACACCATGACCACAGCAACTCTTATAAAGGAAAACATTTAATTGGGGGTTGCTTACATTTTCAGAGGTTTAGTCCATTGTCATCATGGTGGGACATGGTGGCATTCAGGTACATGTGGTGCCGGAGAAGAGTTCTACATCTTGATCTGCAGGCAACAGGAAGCATGCACTGAGCATAGCTTGAGCATAGGAGACCTCAAAATCCACCCCTACAGTGGCACACTTCCTCCACCAAGGCCACACCCACTCCAACAAAGCCACACCCCCTACTAGGGCCACTCCCTATGGGCTTATGGGGGCCCGATTACATCCAAACCACCACATTTACACTGCCCTCTAAACTTGCACCCCTTTACCCATAGTTCACTTCAGCTCTCTGTTCTCATCAGATGAGGTCCTTTGTGCAGTGGAGTGGTGGGTGGTGGTTACCACACATGGTGTTGACACGGACAATAACACAATTGGTCCAAGCGCAGGGAACCAACAGCTGAGTAGTGCTCAGCCACAAATGGGACAGCTGTGTCACATCCCATTCCAAAGGCTCAAGGTCATCACAGGATTGGCGGTCAGAAAAAAACTGTAAGATCCAGAGGTCATGGCAGATCAGAACAAAATAATATTTTTTTTTTTTAAGATTTTTTACTTAGTATGTATACAGCATGTATGACTGTGGCCAGAAGAGGGCGCCAGATCTCATTACAGATGGTTGTGAGCCACCATGTGGTTGCTGGGAATTGAACTCAGGACCTCTGGAAGAGCAGTCAGTGCTCTTAACCTCTGAGCCATCTCTCCAGCCCCAAAATAATATCTAATAGACGTGACAGGACCACTTCTCCGAACTCACAGCCATTGCGGTTGCCTGAGGAGGTCAAGGCGGTAAACACTGTAGCATGGAGAAGAAGGGGTTCATGGGCCCCATCCCTAACTGAAGAACTATGGACAGCTGGTGGCTTCTAGGGCAGGGAGAGCCAAGTTTTATTTAAGAGTGTGGCTTAGGTCAACCGTACTCCAGCTGATAACCACACCCAGAAGTCTATAGATAATACAATTGGGATTGAGGGGTTATTTTAGAAAAAAAAAAAAAAAAAAGGCTGGACATGGAGGCACAGACCAGAGGCACAGACAGACAGACAGACCTTTATGAATTCCAGGCCAGCCTGGTCTACACAGTAAGTTCCGAGCCAGTTAAGGCTGTACAGTGAGACTCTGTACAGTAAATAAAAGACACAAAGTCATGGGGATTGAAGAGGTGAGGGTGGAAAAAAAAAAAAGAGGTGAGGGTGGATCTGGTAAGAGTTAAGGGGAGGGACTGAGTGAATATGATCCAAATAATGTATGAAAGTCTCAAAGAATTAATAAACCCAACTGCTCCTGCTTAGCCCTCTAGCATAACAAGTCTCTATGGCTTGAAAAGGATGTTCTCTTGAGACTTTCTCCAATGGTCCATTTGATGAGAAAGGCAGGGATGGTCTCTTTCCTCCCGTTTTCAGACGAGAAGATACAGTCATGAGAGAGATGTAAAGGCGTTTTAGTCAACCAGTAGACCACATTCCCCAAGGGCTGAGCCACTGAGAGTATAAACACACTCTGGGATGCTCACACAAGGTCACCTAACAGACCGCTGCTCAGGATGAGCCCAGTACTGCTGAGTGACACGTGACTGTCCGTTCTATTACAGAAGCAGAAACTGTTCGAGCCCGTGGTGATCCCTGTGGGTAGGCTCTTCCGGCCAAATGAGAGGCAGGTGGCTCAGCTGGCCAAGAAGGACTACCTGGGCAAAGCTACGGTAGGTGGGGTCACTCATCTTCCCACCTCTCCTGTGCCCTGGACTGCGTGGGGCCGGGTGGAAGGGATTCAAGAAGACATGGCCCCGCTGTGGCATTCAGGGATGACAATGAGGATCTTGCCGATAGTTAGGAAGGAACGCTTCCAAGTTCCTTCCGTCATCCTGGTCCTCAGTAACTCCCGAGGTTCCTCTCAGGATGCTGAGTCTCAGGACTGAGGCAAAGGATAAAAGACAAAGCTAGGGTTCATATAGCTAGGGAAATGTTAGGGGAGAGGGCCAGCAGGAGATGCCCTTGACTCACTGTTCCCGCAATTCACGGCTCAGAATTCTGGGGAATCGCTCCTATTTTCATGGCCCTACAACTGGATTCCTTCTTCAGCAGGCTCTTAAATTCTCCAGACATGATTTGAAGTGAGGCAGCAGTACCTTTTCCAAACTGCATTTGACTTTGACAGTTTGGAAACGGGAGTTCTCCAGTGGCTGGAGCGGGCAGAACCATAGAGACCAACAGAACGTGGCTAAAGGAAACACTCAAAGAGCCCTCAATAAGGAATAGATACATACATTGTGGTGATACATCCTGACTATTGGTGAAATTATTAAGGCCACTCCATGTAGTTCAAAGGGAGGTTTATTTTGTGGGGTAACTTACAAGTGAATGGATAGTTTACAGAGTCTGCAAAATGCATGGTGCAGTACAGCAGTGTTCTTTGGAGAACTCTGCTCGGTCTACCTCCAGCGTCCAGGGTCCAGGAACCAAGAGAGCCGGGGAATCCGGCTCTCGGGTCTTCAGGGTCCTCTCTTGGCCCCGCCTTGTAGGCGTGACAGTTGCCGAAGCCTCAATGGGGGTTGGAACTTCTAGATCAAAGCTGGAATGGCTACCCACTACACCGGACAGTGGAATACTTCTCACCCACAAAAAGGATAAAGTACCAATAAGGCATGCTACAACATGGGTGAAAATGTATGCTGAGAAGACAGATACAAATGTCACGTGCTAGCGCTGGGGGCATGGCTCAGCTGTTAAAGTTCTTCTTGTGTAAGCACGAAGAGCAGATTCCAGGTCCCCGGAACCCACTTAATTGCCAGGCAGCCCTGGAGTCCTGCCTGTAATTCCAGGCTCAGAAGGTGGAGACAGGGGCTCTTCGGAGCAAGCTGGCTAGCAGGACTAGCCACATGAGTCAGTTCTGACATGGACTGAGAGACCCTGCTTCAGTGCATTAGGTGGAGAGCAACGGAGGATGGTTCTCACATTAACCTCAGGGCTGTGCTTGCACGTTCACACACACAGATCTGTCCCCTTGGCATAAAACACACAACACACAGAACATGCATAACACACACACACAAAATGGGGAGAAAAGGCACATTCTATATAATTCTATATAAGGCCTTTAAGCAGGTCAAACCACTGAGATTTCCAAACATGTGTTGCCAGGCTAGGAGAGGAGACTGTAAATTACTTAATGGGTCCAACTTTTTCTTTTGGAGTGATTAAAATGTTTGGCACTGGATAGCATTGCAAAGTCTTGTGGGTGTATGAAATACCATGAAATTTTCACTTAAACTGGTTAATTTGATGTTATATAAATACCAGCAGTATTTTTTTCTAAGAGAGAGAGTTCTAATCCCGAAGAGTCCTGCCTGCAATTGTCCTTCCCTTCCATCTCCCTCTGGAACCTACACAGTGACAATGGTTCTGAGGTGTGAGGGAGGAGGAGGTCTTGGGGAAGGACACAGGTGCCGGGCAAACAGAGCCGGCAGCAGGCGCTCACTCTCTTTCCTCTGTGTTTCAGGTTGTAGCATCCGTGGTTCATCAAGACAACTTTTCTGGCTTCGCCCCTCTGCAGCCGCAGGTGAGGCCAGATCTATCCGGGAAGTAGCCTCCAGTGAGAGGAGCTAGGCTGACACACTAACCATAAGGCTTCCTTCAGCCATCTCTCAGCAGAGCTGAGATGCCTGCCCTCTTCCATGGCTGCTTGGGAGGATGGCCGCGTCAGCTCTCTGTCTTTCAACTCACCTGCTCTTCCAAATCCTGATCCTCCCTTTTCAAGTTCTAAGAGAGCTAGCTGTTGGTCGCCTTGTGAGACCTTGACCATTCTCTCTCTCTCTCTCTCTCTCTCTCTCTCTCTCTCTCTCTGTTTTTCAAGACAGGGTTTCTCTGTAGCTTTGGAGCCTGTCCTGGAACTCACTTGGTAGCCCAGGCTGGCCTCGAACTCCCAAAGATCCGCCTGGCTCGCTCTGCCTCCCGAGTGCTGGGATTAAAGGTGTGCGCCACCACCGCCCGGCTTGACCATTCCCTCAGAACACTGAAACACACACCCTGGAGGTTTTGTGACAAAGCCTCTTCATGGGTTCAGGAGGGAGTCAGGGGACAAGGGGGTGCAGAGCCTGAGGTTCTGATTCTCTTGGCTCTATCCATTTGTTCATGTGCAAGAGATTCCTTTGGGGCAGGGTACCAGCCCAAGTTGGGCTCAGAGATGGTCCCCAATGACATGTGGCAGTGGGCCCAGAGACAAAGACAAGGCTGCAGACAGGAAGGCGGTGACGCAGATTCAGGAAAACCCAAACTCGGCTGTGTATCACAGTGGTGGGTAAGGGCAGTGGTCAGCGCTGGCACAGGAAAGGGCCTGGAACCTGGTCACCTCCCTGCCATCTGCATATACATTTTCTAGGGTAGCACTGACCTCTACCCCAGATAGGGGCAGGATGATCACTGTCTGACCACGTTGACCCATGCTTGGGCCAGGGGGCCAAGGGCATAATGAGAGCCAGCCTCTAGATTCCTTGTCCCCTTTTGGCATGGTAAAGTTGGAGAAAGCCTGGCTGAGGCCCGTTGAGCTTCAGCCCAGCTGGAGGACAGGGAAGGAAAGTCCCAGATAAGGGACTCTATGACATCAGTGCAGAACAGGGAACACATAAGAGGGAGGAGACTCTTGTCTGTCCAGTAGATGCTGAGTTGATTTTAAATATCCAGAAATGCCACACACTGTGGCAAACATTAATTATAGACCAGATCTTTTGGACAACACTGGAAAAGGACAAGGCTTGAGGTCAGACGCTCTCCAACAATAGCACCTTCTCTAGACACCGGCTCTGGGTCACAGCCATTGCTGTACTGGTAAAGCCCACACCAGGCAAGCTGGCAGGCTGCTGGCTTCCCAAATTGTGCCTTGTCCCCAGAGAGCACTCAGAAATGAGGTCTTTGGTTTTGGATCTGGAACAATGCTCAGATTACCATTAACTATCTGTTCTTTCTCTCTCCTCATTTTCCCCTTCTTCATCTTTCCTGAATGTTCCACAGGCAGCGGAGCCTCCACCCAGACCCAAAACCCCAGAGATCTTCAGGTAAGTTAGATTTAGAACCGGATGTAGAATGTCTACACTCCACACCTGACTTGATGGCAGTAAGGATGGGGAGAAATAAAGCCGGGGTCAGGTCTACACCCTGAGTCCTTTTCTAGGCTGTTAGCCTCCTCCTGTTTGCAAGGTTAGAGCCAAATGATGTGGTTGGGATGGGAGCCTTGTGGTCGGGTGGCCACTGGGGGCCTAGCTGCAATAACCTGGAGTCCCAACGGGCATGGCCACCGATAGAATGGGAGGTCACTGACGTGAAGCTGTGCCCTCTGGAACACCGCCCAGGTCAGAGGTGAGAGGTCAGTTTTGTCCTGACTACAGGCCCTCGGAAGCTCTCTAGATTCTGGAAGCTATCACAGGGTCTTTTTTCCTGTGTGGGTGCCGTCACTACTGACCCGTGTCTTCTGAAAAAGGGGAAAGACTCAAGAAAAGGAAGTCACTCTGTAAATTGAGAAGCAGAGTGGCCTCACCTCAGCTTTCTTAAGAACTGCCTCTAATGAACAAAGCAAGCCTAGTTCCCCCTCCAAAAACAGGGGGTAAGAAAAAGTGTGTGTGTGTGTGTGTGTGTGTGTGTGTGTGTGTGTGTGTGTGTGTGTGTGTAGGGCGGGTACTACAGGCGATCCCAAAGTGAGGGGCTGAAGAAGTTCATCCCCAAGGTCTCCAGGCTGGAAAGGATGAATTCCCTACATCACCAGGCCCAGCGGGCATGAGCAGGTGGAACCTGATACCCCATGCATGGGCAGTTTCCAAGGCAACCTCACTTACACATTCCAGGTGACAGAAAGGAGACTCTCCAGGTGTGGGGTAACCAGGGCCTTGGGGGGGCGGGGCGGTCAGTGAGAGGGGTTGGGCATGGTCTAACACAAAGCAAAGCAGTGGCAGATGCTCCCCTGTGCCTCTCAGTGCCTGGCTCTCCATGCCCTTCCCACAAGGCTGGCCTGGGCGGCCCCTCCCCTGGGTTCCCTGACTTCCGCCTGTGTTGTTCTCCTGGCCGCACTTCCTGTCCACTCCAGCGGGGACCTGGGAGCTGACTTCCCCCTTAGGAGGGAAGGGAGGCTCCGAGGATTGTCAGGCAGGTCTCCTCATCCAGTACCGGTTCTGTTTTCTTGTCTCCCCTTGTAGACAGTCTTGCTGCCCGCCATGTCGGCTACCTGTGGCCCACCATGACCCCAGAATATAAAATTACAGAAATAAACCAATCGTTTTATATTGGGTGTGGCAGGATAAGGCTGTAATCCCAGCACACAGGAGAACTGCCACCAGTTGGAGGCCAGCCTGGTCTATTCAGGGAGTTAGAGGCCAGTGAGAGCTAGATAACAAGACCCTCCCTGTCTGAAAAACCAAGCAAAGAGACAACTACAAGCTGTTTTCCATTCTGAGCAGTGTGAGGAAATCCCCTCCGTCCAGGAGGGGTGTATGCCACGCTGTGGGCCACCTGTCTGCTAGTCTCTCGGAAGCCATCTGGCTATACAGGGTTTCCCCGTCACGCCGCCAGAGTCCAAAATGGGTGTTGAAGGGGTGGGGGAGCGTAACAGGACACCTACGACCTGGAAGCAGGGGACTGGGGTGCTCGCGTGTAAAAGGGCGCGCCAGGGTAGGCGTGCGGCCTGAGAGAAGAGGAAGGAGAATCAGCAAAATCAGTTTTTATTAGAAAAACATGTCACAGTGAAACCCAATACCGTGCACATTAATTAAACCAAAACCAAAACCAAAGCGTGGCCAGTGAGATGCTCGGAGGGCAGAGGGACTTACTTTGCCAGCCTGGTGACCTGAGTCGGAATCTCAAACTCACACAAAGGTGGAAAGAGAGAAAGAACTTCACACAATTGTCCTCTGGCCTCCACTGCCGCACCGTGGCACACGTGTCCCCCAGACACACGAATATATAAAATAATAGGAATGAAAGAAGCTCAATAAAATAGAGCGAAGGATAGCATCTTTTGAGAAGGATTGTCACGGTATGATGGAGCTTGCTCAGGTAGCCCTTGTGTTGGTTAATAATGGACCCAAAACACAAGAGGAGTACCGGGACCCGTAATCTGTCTATGCTGAGACTGTAAGGCTGTCTTTTGTGTTAAAAAGTGAACGTTGGCCTAATAGAGAAAAGGGCAGGTATGGAGGCTCACATTTCTAGTCCCTGCCTTTGAGAGGCTGAGGCAGGAGGACCGCTGTGAGCTCAGGCCAGCCTGGGTTACAGAGTGATAGCCTGTCTCAAAAAACAAAGACAATATAAAAGGGATTGTTGTGGATATTGCTCTATATAAATAAAACACTGATGGCCAGTGACCAGGCAGGAAGTAGGTTGCCAGGCAAAAAGTAGGTGGGACAAGGAGAGAGGAGAATTCTGGGAAGTGGAAGGCTGAGGGGAGACACTGCAGCCACCGCCA